CCGCCCCGCCCCGCCGCCTTGAACGGTCCACCACGCCTCGCCGGGCCGGGCGGGGCGGGGTAGGGCGTTCTGTACCGTTCTGTAACCTGACCCGGCCTAGAGTGCCTCCCATTATCAACACTTTACAGTGAGCATGCGTCGCGGCCGCCTTGCGACACATTGCCGATAGGAGCAGCGAAGCAGCGGCACTCGAAAACGGCACGCCACTGTAGGGCACGGCACGGCTCCCACGGTCCACTGCGAATCCCGAAACGCGCTGGGAACACGCCGTCGGCGGCCATCCCGTCCGTTTTTTTTATTATCCGCCCTCGGTTTGGTTTAATTGTCCGAACCCGAACGGCGCGCGCGAGAGCCGAAAAGGGAGAATAGACAATAACTGCGTTGCGACAGTGTGTGGCGGCGAGGGGAACTCGTGACTCCGAGGAAGGGCGAGGAGTTTCGGGAATTGAATTCAGCTGCCAATCGCAAAAATAAATGTAGACCCACTCACTAATTTTTTTTTCAAAACATTTTTTTTTCACTGTAACAAAACAAATAGATTTGTGACAGCAAGCTGTTTGTTCACGTTAAAAAAATTAACACTAAAGATTTTTGGTAGGCCTGGAAAACAACAACCTTTTTTTTTTAAGGCCGACGCGCGAAGCCCCTGCGAAGTCGACGGTAGGCAATCCCGCAGTACGCCGGTGCGTGGCGGGCAGGCCCGCCCTGCCAGGCGCTCCAGCCACTCGTCTCTCTCGCACTCACGGGGCGTCCCGCAGAGGTGCGAGAGAGACAGAGCGACGCCACGATCGGCAGGACGAGAATGAGAGTGAGAGGGAGGAGAGGAGGGGCTTGCCGGACGCCACGCGACGCACAGTGGGCCAGAAGACCGGCGGAGGCGGACAAAACACTAAACGCGTGTTGAGCTCCAGAGTCGCTACATGGGACTCGAACCGAGCGTGTGACCCCACCAATGGATTCCTCGTTCGGAGAGCAATCCATTGGTGGGGTCACACGCTCGGTTCGAGACCCATTTAGCGACTCTGGAGCTCAAAACGCGTCCGGGGTTTTGACCGCCTCCACCGGTCTTCTGGCCCACTGTGCGGCGCCGTCCGTCCCGGATGTGTCCGTTTTACGATGCAGCCATTTTTATCGAGATAAGACCGGGAGAGGAGCAGGCTAGGCTAGGGCTGGGCGCGGTTCGGTGGTGCAAGTGCAGCCTAAGTGGCCGCACGGGCCGCACGCCGGACAGAAACCGCAACTGCTTAATTAGCAGGCAGGGCTTAATAAAGGCAAGCCGAGCCCTGACCTTTGTCTCGGCGAAGAATAGAACGTAAAGCGCAGCTTTTGGCCGCCTCCACCTTCTCTCTCTCTCCTCTCTCTCTCTCTCTCTCTCTCTCCTCTCTCTTTCCTTCGGAGAGTCCGTTTTGATTCCACGCCCTCCCCCGTTTCGACACGTGTTCGCCAACCTTTGCGGCGTCACTGGCAATCATTAGGGACGCCCTATGCCCGTAAAATGCCATCGAATCTGTTCCGGCCGTTCTCTCTCTCTCTCTCTCTCTCTCTCTCCCTCTCTCGATCGCGAACCGCGGCGGTGGCGCCGATGTGTTCACCTCAGGCGGGGCACTGTATGTGGTGCCGTGAGTCAGAGCAGTGTATGAGTAACCCTCTCACTATCAGGAACCCGGCTGTGGCCGAGCCAGACCAGACCTTGATCGGCTCCAGTCGCTCTTTCTCCGTCACTCCGGAAATTATTATTACCTTTGTTTAACAACAACAACAACAACAAGTAAATAAAGATAAAAATAATGAAGAAGGGGGAAAAAAGTGTGGCAAGTCGACACCACTGATGGACGCGCGCTGAGCGTTTAGTGACAGCCGAGGGAGCACAATGCAAGGCCTAGGCCTCGCCACTAATTAGATCAACTTAACCTGGAGCCACTGCAAACACCGAGTGCATTTTCTTGAAGGGGAGCCGCCAGTCCCACCGAGGGCACTGCAGCGTGAAAATTTCGGTCGTCGCTCGAGGACAACGGGGAGGCTAATTTCCATTGCAAGAATGTCATCAATGGAGTTGACGACACCGTTGGCACGCCTCTGCAGTAAGTACAGGAGATTTGCTGGAACGCCATCAATTTTTTCATGGATTTGTCATTATTTTAGAGTGATGAAAAATTTATCAATCTGTTTAGAAAGGGGTAGTCTGGGGTTTCTTCTAGTGGTGGTTAGCTAGACCATGAGATTAGCCCTAATCTCATGGCTAGAGGCAGGGGTCAAAGTAGCGCCTACTTTCAAGGGCAAAGATTTGCTTTTAGCCTCCGTTTCAGGTCCAGGACTAAGCGGCAATCGTCCTGTCTTGAGTTACCAGAAAGCTGAGATTTTGCCCATCGCCATTTATGGCTGTTCCCCGCTCCCTAATGACCACGCCGAGGTGGCCGCCACTGCACTGCACTGCATCCTCAGGTCCGAATCAACTCCAGCAAGGCGGGGCGGCCGCGGCGGCCATGCCTAGAAATGGAAGTCCAAAGAACCGGATCTGTCATGTTCAAGTGTACGTGTGTATGCATGTGTGTGTGTGTGTTGTGTGTTTGTGGGTGTGTGTGAAGCTGGTTTCACTTTTTACGCGCGCTGACCGCAAGGGATGGACAAAGCCATTTACCGCCGATAGGAACGAAGGGCGCGATTAGGATAGGATCAAATCTGCTGATGCAGGTTCGCGATGTTCTTTGTCATGGACATTCTGTCCCCCTTTTCCTGTAGTGCCCTGCACCGTGTGATACAGCACGACCTGCCCGTGGTTTCGCCACATGTCTCTTGTTGTGGCGCGGGCAGAGGGAGAGGGGGGGGGGCGTTAGTACACTGACCAGCGTGACCGCGGCGGCCCGTTCGGCCCTCGGACAGTGTCCCCGTGGGGAAACCCCGTCACGCCCAGAAGCATCGCGGCCGAGAAATTTCCCGCCGGCCGAGGGAAGTTTCCCGCACAGCGGGCCGCGCCACTGCGACCGCCACTTCAGCAGTGCGTCAAACTCCCTGCAGATGCGCGTAAATTCCCCCAGCAGCGCGAAAACTCCCGCAGTGGGCTGCAGGAACAGCACCCAGCCTTGTCGTGCGGCGTCGGAGACAAGACAAGCAAGAGACAGCTGGTAATAGGTCAGCCAGCATCTGTCAGCAAGGCAGCCACCGCGAATTCCTAGTCACCCTCGCTGACGCAACGGGCAGAACGTGCCCGCCCCGGAACCAGCAGGGCCTGGCCCGACCTTCACCCCGGCCTAACCTAACCTAAAGGGCCGGCGGCCCCATTCCGTGGTCCTTAGGGCCACTTTGGCTCGACGTCCTTGGCGGCCCTTGACGCGGCGCTGCCCTTTGGACTGCAATCAGGGAGCCAATCTGACGAAAGGGAAGCAGTCACAGTTTATTCGAGACACTCCGTTGGGATTCCAGAGGCCGCAGCCTCCTCCTTTTTAGCAGGAGAGAACAGCACGATGTGAAAAGACACAGCGACTTATAATACCAAGACTCGGGCCTTTAAAAAGGAAATTAGATCTGCATTATAATATAACTTTTTTTTTCGGAAGGAAACAAAATAGTACTTGACGGAATTTTTCGAGTGTTACGGACGCGTGATCAAGTCCAGACACCCCCACCCCTTTCCAGCGCGTGCTTTTCCAGGCGGCTGGCTTTCCAGAGGCGCTGGACTCGCTGGAGAACGGCGGCGGGCTCTTGAATGGCGTCAACGGGACCGAATTAGGCGTCTCGCCGGCAGCCCGAGCAGCCAGCCAGCCTTGCCGAAAAGGTAAACGGTGGCACGGTAGCGCCGCATCCGACTGGGTCCTTCCCTTTCACTCGATGGCGATAAGCGGCCTGCCCGGCCACAAGGGGCTTTTATAAATCACTCGCCGCCTTTCCTGCGCCACTGTAAACTCGGCGGGCGTTTGGGGAAAGAGGGACGTCTTCGCGACTGCCACGGGGAACCACAGCGGCCCGCAATCCGGACAGTGAACTTTAAAGCATTTAGTTTCTATTCTTTCGACTGAGTACATCGCGTTAGCCAAAAATTCATAATTCACAGCGCACTTTCTTGCTCAACAGTATTTTTTTACGAAGAAAATCAACCAGTCGATTTGACTTGGATTCATTTTACAGTGGCCCTCCCCGATTTTCCTTCCCATGCTGTGACGGAGTAACTAACGGTCACCACCTCGGTGACGTCAACTAGTTTCACGGTTTTACGGGCAGCCGTATTTTGACGTCATTTCCCGCTGCGGATGACTGCGCTGGGCGTTCCCTCCGCCACGCCACTGCACCGCACGCCACTCGGCCGCAGCCAGACGGACCGCTGCACTTGTGCCCCGCTGCAAACTGGGGCAGCACGAAGTATGCTGGCAGAGGGTCACTTTATGATAAAATCTACCGTGGGTGACATGTTCATTTCTTGAAAAATTATGACAATTTATCACATATTCACGATGACTTTTCACCAACTCCAATAATTTTTGAGATGACGTCATCTCAACGGGTTTGATGACATTCTCGTAAGGAAAATCAGCCCTTAAATTGGTATGAAGTGACGCCCAGGAACTATGACAGTGCAGTCGCCGCCCAAAATGTGAACCCGAAGGGTCACAGGCTGTTTTCCAGCAATTGCTTTCCGTCCCAGTGTCAGCTTGGCCTCTCGTCAATTACTGATTCCTGCCCCAAGCTTGGGTTCAGACGAGTCGTGACGTCCCTCCGTCTCTCTCGCACTCGTGGGGTCCTCCATGAGGGTGCGAGAGAGACAGCCTGAATCGCTCGGCAGGCGGCATGGCCGCCTTGAGGCGTTTCCAAGACGTGGTCCTCCTCGAACCGAGACGCCTGCAGTGCACAGCCTCCAAGAGGTCCCCCAGAACACAGTCCGCCCAGGTCCACGACGGCGACCCCGACCGTGACGGCGTCCAGCTTGTCGGCGAGCAGGGCTGCAGGTGCGGTGTCTTGGCCGAAGTCCTCTTGCCGTATCCCACGGTAATCCTCGTGCACTGACTAACCTTTTCGCTTCTTGAGCTTGGTCTTGGGGCTGGTGGAGGCGGGCGTCGGCGAGACGGCGCTCGCTACGACCACCACGGCGCATAGCGCCAGCAACACAGCGCGCATGGCTACGGTATTCACAGATGTTGCACTCGGCGTCGTCGGACTCGACGCTCGGATCGGGACACGCGCGCTACTCGGTTCACGACAGCATGCGGGTCGCGCTGGGGCTCGGCGCGCTGTGGCTCGGCGCGCGCACTGCGGTGGACTGCGCTGCACAGCGTGGACTGTCTGGCGCGCAAGTTTCTCCGGTCCGGGGCGGCGGGCTGCGGCGGGGGCCGGCCTCCCCTTAGCCTGGCCGCCGGGCCGTCCCGTCCCTTCCAGCGCCGCCAGAGCCAGCGGGGCCCGCAGCGGGGCCCGGGCCGGGGGCTGCAGCAGCGCGCCAGCAGCCTGCACAGGGCCGAGTTCCTTTCTCTGGGCCCCGCGCCCCGCCCCGCCCCGCGGGAGGGGGGAGTGCCTTTCTCTGCGGCGGGGAGGGGGGGGGGGGCTAGCTGCCGGACCCCACCCGCCGCCAAGGAGCGGCGCGAGCGGCTGAGCCGCCGACCGCGGCGCCGAACTGGGCGAGGACCCGAACCCGTCCGAAGGCACTTCGGGCGGGGGTGTGGTCCAGACTCGCCCTCGTCTCCGTGCCGCAGACGCCGCTGACGTGTTTCCGCCCCGGCGAGCCCCCCGCGTGCCGCACGCATCCACGCACGCAATCGGGGTGCTCGCACCTGCACCGCGCTGTGCCTACACTGCCAGCCCGGCCAGGCCCACAGTGTGGGCACGGCCGCCTTTCGTTGCGGGCGGTGGGCTGCCTGCCGTCCACGGTCCATCGGCTGGCCGTGGAAGCTGCTTGCCAATCGGCGGGCCTAAGGGACAAGCTAGCGCTTTTAGCTCACTTGCAGGGGCAGAAGGCTTACGGGACGAAAGGCCCTTTAACTTTGCCAGTGTTCCTTGCTTCAAAAAACAAACTTCCGCGCAAGCGAGCGGACGTTGTCGACACCCCACCTAAGCTTGAGGGCCTGTTTGCGTTTCGCATCCTTCGGCTACGCTTAGGAAGCAGAGCTGGCCCTTGGCTGGCCCACGTTGCACCAGAGTGACGCTGGCCTCGATTTCGGCCGACTGTGTCGGGGTTATTTCAAATTCGCCATTAGCATCAGCGGCGTAGTTTCGCCCCTACGGCCGGTTTCCACAAAAAGGGGAAATAGGGCCCGGGAAATGTGGAGCAGCTTGCGCAACCACACTGCCATCCATAGCATGCATGCTGCTGGGAAAATGGACAAGGCGGACGTAACGCGGCGTTTCGGCGCCCGGGCCACTACTTTTCATCTTTTATCTCTTCTCTCTCCGAGCAAGGACACCAGTCCGCAGAAGAACCGAAAAGGACAGACAAACGCAAAGATACAACGGATAAACCTGGCGAGTTGGTGAGGGGCTCCCTGCACTGGCAAAAGTCAGAGCTTACCGAATGACGCGAGGCTTGGCTTTGCCGGCGCTTTGCGGAGCGAGATGAGAACTAGTTACGCGGAACGGTTGGAACGGTTACGTCAGCCACTCAGCAACATGTAAGTACTGTGTCGCGGCGGCACTGCCTTCGCGCTTTAGTGCAGTACTTTGTAACGTGGGGAAAAGGTGCCATGAGAGAAAAGTTTCAGGGTGGCCACCGCAGAGGCAGGCAGTCAGCGGCCGCCGCTCGGCACTCGCCGCCGGAGAGCGCTCGGGCTGTGCCGTGCGTGGAAGTCTCCGGCCCCTTCATGCATTCGTGTTCATTCAGTCTTTCGTATTATTTCATTCGTTCAGTCAGTCAGTCAATTCATTCACTCATTGAATTCATTCGTCCTGTTCATTCATTCTGCTTTCATTCACTCATTCGCGTTCGTTTATTAATTCACATTTGTCGATTCCTTCCTGCAAGCCGCATGCATTCATTCGATTCATCTGTACTCCAGTCATGCATTCGTTCAAATGTTGGCGTTAATTCACTCGGGTATTGAAAGCCATTCATTTGTATTCATCCATCCCCACCGTATTTCAATGATTCATCCATTCATTGCCATCTCGCATCGTTTAACAGGGCCAGCCAGACTTTCCCGGCGTTTGAGGAAGACCACCGCGGGCCGTCCCCGTTGGCCCGGACGGCCTGGACGCATCGCCCTACGACGTGCAAGCACTTGGAGTGCACTGACCAGGATGCCGCCTGGCCCGCCTCTGTCTCTCTCGCACCCACACGGGACGGCCCCGAGTGCGACAACGACGGGGCGACGAAAGCACTGTTCGGCCTGGACGGCGAGTAGTGCAGGGAGTGTTTCTGCCGCACCTGGCCTGCAGTGCCGTTATTGGCAGAGACCTCCGCGTGCGTGCCCAACACACATGCTCTGTGTGTGTGTGTGTGTGCAGGTGCGCGTGGCGGTGTGTCAAGGCAGGAGGGTGTGTCCAGTGGCGAGCCCCTATCTAGTCTAGACTGGCCGCGGTGGGGCGTCGACCTGCCCCGGCGGGGCCCCGCCGTCGAGGTAAACGGCAGACAGACCACAGGTGGGGCCCGGCTCGAGTGAGTGCAGCGAGGCGTGCCCACGTGGGAGGGCCCCGCGGAGCCCCACGTGGGGGCCGCGTGCCAAATATCCAATTGCACTTCGCGGCTGACCCAGTCACAGGTTCCCTCCACCCATAAAAAAAAGGGAACACATTACAAAATTATTGTTATCTTTTGGAAAGAAAGAAACTTTTCTTTTATGATGGAAATATAATGTGAAAGTTAAGGGAAAAGGTGCAAAACCAATGTGAATAAGGAAGCCTTGTATAAAAGCTTTGAAATTCCACAAGAATGGGATGCTTGGTTCTCCGTGAAGTTACAAACATGATAAGGCAGCAAGTAGTTCTAAATATCCTACCAAGGTCCTAGTCTCTGGCGCTCTCTTCAAAATCGAAAGCCTTCCCACTCACGGACGGGACGCTTCGGCTGCTGTCCGAGTGTTTGCCAAGACTAGATCGTGGGATGTAGCAGGCTCGCTACACCTTCTTTTTCTATTCCTGCGTCGTTTTGGGAGTTTGCCAGAATGCATGTCGGGTCAGAGAGAGAGAGAGAGAGAGAGAGAGAGGGAAAGCGTCCTTGGACATGTCCAAACAACCAATCACTTGTCGCCTTTTTTCGCCCATGGGGCCATGTGCGGTCAAACAGTTGGAATCTGAGAGTGAAGGAGAGAGAGACCATTGAAGAACAGGCAATATCTTTCTCCCTGACCCACTAACCTGACTTTTTTCACCAGTGTTCTACAACGAGACTATTTCTATCCCAAGTTTGCACTTGCACTGTAAACCCAACCACTTTTCGGCCTACTGGCATAGCGACTGACCCACTGCAACACCTGCCGATGCACATTTGCATTTCAATTTGCACGTGGGGTGCGGTGCTCACCAAACCCGATCCCCTTAACCGTAAGTGAGATCACCCTCATTACTCTGCGACTAGCCAAACACAAACAACAACTACACCTCAAGGATCAGTTCCAAAACAACAACAAGAACATTGAGTCGAAAAAAACAGGTAAACCTTTTTCCGGCTAGTCCCAGATTTTCGCGGCAAATCCCAGTTTTACTTTTTTAGCACGTAGCGGGCAGTGACTAGCAGTTCTTCACACCGTGCATGTGGGGACCATAAAAGCAGATCGTTCCCTTCTTTCCCGGTCGTTTCAAATCAGCCGTTAATAGTACTTAGCGGGCGAAACAGGAAGTCGCACTTTTACACTCACACACGTACACAAGCACTCTCCCTGGGCGACCGCACACGCCAAAATGTCCTCCCCGCACCTCCAGCGAGCGCGGCCACTTCCTTAGATCTGTCACGATCTCCGCGTCTTCGCGCGCGTCGCTCGCCGCCACTCGCAAACTCCGCGCCGCTTCGTCTGGCAAACCCTGGAGGAAGTCACCACCCCGTCCACGGCGGGTTGCGCAAGGCGTCGTCCCTCGTCGCATAAATGTAGGCGGGCGAGAGTGTGTGCGTGAGTGGCGAGTGTGAATGTGAGAGGAGTGCCGGCGTCGTGTGAGGGAGAGTGCGAGTGTGTGTGAGTGAGTGTGTCAGTCAGAGGTTTACGGAGAATCCACCCGGTGGTGCTTTCCAGAGTAGACTAAAACGCGCGGCAACGAGAGCGGACAGGAGGACGAGACGAGCCGCTTCCTCCTCTCGGCAAGGCAAGCCAGACTAATTTCGCTGGGGAAGGGCGCAGGACGGCGCAGGACGCCACAGGCTGGACTCTCCAGGCTGGACGCTCCCGGCTGGACTCTCCAGGCTGGACTCTCCAGGCTGGACTCTCCAGGCTGGACGCTCCAGGCTGGACTCTCCAGGCTGGACGCTCCAGGCTGGACGCTCCAGGCTGGACTCTCCAGGCTGGACTCTCCAGGCTGGACGCTCCAGGCTGGACTCTCCAGGTTGGACTCTCCAGGCTGGACGCTCCAGGCTGGACTCTCCAGGCTGGACTCTCCAGGCTGGACTCTCCAGGTTGGACTCTCCAGGCTGAACTCTCCAGGCTGGACGCTCCAGGCGGGACGCGCCATGCGCCGCGTCACACGCTGCCAGTTCTGCCGAGCGGTTCCGAAGCCTCTCTCCGTCGCTCTGCCTCTCTCGTAACCCCACGCGTCACCTCACGAGTGCAAGTGAGACAGCGGCGAAGAAACCACTCCTCGGAATGCCGCCGCGCTGCCGGTCGCACGCGACAAACACGCCCATTCGCCGCACGGCCGCCCTGCCCGCCTGCCCTCCGTTTTGGCAGCCGCTCAAATCGAATGTGAATCGCGCGGCGGCCATTCAAATGAGGCGGCACTCGCATTCACATTCACATTCGCACCGAATCAAGTCGACGCCTTCGCCAAGGTGTTCGCGCTGGCAGTGCCTTCTCATTTTTGCCAAGCTGTCATTATTGCCGGCCGTGGACGACAAAGATTATAAACGGCGAGCAGAATCTTTTTTCTTCTCTTTTTCTAAAAGCATTCAATTAATGTGATACTCAGAACTGAATGGCATTGGAGGAAATCAATAACCACCACTTGTGCATTATTCAACCCGTTTTAATTGTTGCCTCGCATTAGTCCCGCGTCGTGTGAGTTTCAAAAGTCGCCTTCTTTGACAGCTTCCGCCAGTGACGAGGCCAAAAATAATGGGTAGCAGTAAATAGGTAAAAAAAGATACCCGGACCGAGCGGACACTCAAGTGCATATTTCGGCAGTCCAACTCCCT